TAGTCCAGGCTGGCCTCAAACTCACATTCCTCTTACTCCAGATTCTTGAGTGTGGGGGTTAGTGCATTTGCCATATTTCTTCTATAACAAAAAAACTGACCCAGCAACTCCACCTCTACAAATACTGAGCTAGGGATGTAGCTCAGCAGTGCCAGGCCTGCCTGGCAAGCACAAGGTCCTGAGTTCAATCCTGATACTGAAAAAAAATTCAAATATGGGCTGGAGATTTAGCTCAGTGGTGCCGCCATCTGCCTCACAAGCGCAAGGTCCTGAGTTCGATCCCCAGTACCCAAAAAAAAAAAAAAAAATTCAAATAATAAAAAACACTTCCGTAAGTACACAAAGTTATATAGGTATAAAGAAAGTATACAAAGAAACTCATGACATAGCTGGGTGTGGTGGTGCACACCTATAATCCTAGCATTTGGGAGGCTGAGACAGGAGGATCACTACAAATTCAAGGCCAGTCTGGACTACAAAGACCCTGTCACGAAATCTTATGAGGCTAGAGGGAGAAGAGAGAATAAAAAATAATTAAAATGTACTATGTACATGTACAAATCCCATCCAATTAATATAATTTTTATGTACTGCAAACATGTTCTAATAAAAAAATTTGAGATCTGGGGATTTAGCTGAGGGCTGCCATGCCAGCCCTACAAGCACAAGGTCCTGAGTTTGATCTCTGGTAGGAGGGGATTTGAAGCTGGGCATCATGGCGCACACCTATAATCCCAGCCCTTAGAAGGCTGAGGCAAGAGGATCACAGCCAGTTTGAACCCAGCCTGGGCTACATAGTGAGTTCAAGACAAGCCTGAACTACATACTCAGACACTGTCTTAAAAAAAAAACAAAAACTGGGGGCTGGAATTATAGCTCGGTGATAAAACACTTATCTTGCATGTGTGAAGCACTGGGTTCAATCCCCAGAACAGCAAAATAAATAAAAAGGAAAATTTTTAAATGAAAAACTGGAAACACCCCAATTATCCAAGGTTGGGAATTTAGCTCAGTGGAAAGAGTGGCTATCTAGGAAGCACCGGGCCCTGGGTTGATTCCTCAGCACAAAGAAAAGAAAGAAAAAACAACCTTCAAAGGGCACTTCAAATCTAGTAAAGGCTCTCTCTAGATAAATTTTCTCCCAGAAAATGAAAATCCACTTTTCTACCTTAGTCTCACATCAAACATGACAATAGAGGGCATTACCAAGAATTAGTGATGACCTAGTCAACACAATCCAGCCTAATACTTACTAAGAGATAGCTGCAAGGAAAAGGAGTTCAAATAAATTAAGTCACTCTCCAGCTCTCAATAAGCAGAACTGCTTACCTTCTTCTACAGCTGTAATTCTCAAATTTTCTCCACATGCCAAGACATACACAGAGAATGGATAAGACCCTATATCAACAGAAACAGCTGTCTCAACTATCCTGAAGTTTAATGGGTTAATACTTTAGCATACCTATAGCATATTCACATCAGCATATAGCTATGAATCTGTGAAGAGGATCAAAGTTGCACATATAACATGCTTATACTTACAAAAGAAAAGGGAAGGCCAAACTAAAGTCCCACTCACTTCACTAAGAACCTGTGACTGACAGAGAATGCCAGCATCTATTTCAGATTCTAGGCACTACAACCGGGAAGGTCACTGTAATAACTTTCCTGAAGGCTGCACTTTCTCTAGCTCATTTATACAATTTAAGTACAGAATTGCAAATAGACCTAGATAAGACAATTATTCAACAATCCCACCTTCTAGTGAGTTAGCATTCCAATTCTCTTATAGGAGAATAGCTGTGTTTATCTTGATGACAAGCAAGCGTAGTATAGTCAGATCTTCCTCTGATAACAAGACCCTGAAGAAATCACATAACACAAGGCAGCTTCCTACTTGAAGTTCAGTCTAAAAATCAAAACTTATTAAGATGAGATTTTACGAAGTATTGTGACACGTGCCTATAATTCCAACACTTGAGAGCCTAAAGCAGGAGGACCAAAAGTTCAAAAAAGGCCAGACCAGGCTATATAGCAAGACCCTGTTTCAAAAAATAAAAAACGAGCCAAGCACTATGGCACTCTTGAGATGCTGAGACAGGGGAATCAAAACCTCAAACTTATTGAGATCATCTCAAACTAAAAAATAAAAAACTGGAGAGGTAGGTGGGTTCAATCCCCAGTACCACACACACACACACACACACAAAAGATGAGATTTTTCTGTGACTAAGAATGCAGCTCAGTGGCAACACACATTTGCCTAGCATGTGCAGGGACCTGGGTTAAATCCCCAACACCACGAAAATAAGATTTTCTTTTGACAAGGGACACTATGGGAAGAATAGTCAAACTTCCATTTACAGAGTCTCAACTTTGCTAAGCATCTTATATACACTCTATCCCCATGAAGTAGGCAGGATTACGTATTTCTATTTTAGAAGGAAATCAGCCAGGCATGCTGGTGCATGCCTGTAATCCTAGCACTCATGAGTCTAAGGCAGGAGATGGCCATATGAAGCCAGCCTGAGCTACGTAAGTTCAAGGTCAGCCTGAGGGACACAGTGAGTCCCTGTCTTGAAAAAAAAAGAATTAGAACTCAAAGAGCCTCAGGATCTCAGAAAAGATATGATGAATGTTATTATTATGTATGTCTAAAATGTACCAATAAATATTTTGCTATTAAAAAATCTCAGAAAAGCCAGAAACTAAGTCTAGGCCTTTCTGATTTTAAAGCTCACACTTCTTTTTTTTTTTTTTTTTTGGTACCAGGAATCAAACTCAGGTCCTTGTATTTGCGAAACAGACAGCAGAACCACTGAGCTAAATCCCCGGCCCTAAAGCTCATGCTTCTAACCAATAAAATGTACTCTGTTCCAAGGTATAGGGAATGAGACCACAACTGGAGTCCAAAAGGTACACCCCTTCCCAATGGAAAAAAAGGGACAACAGTTTCCTACAGCACTGAGGCAGATCTTCAACCAGGAAAGAAAATATAGTCACTTGGTTTGGGTTTTAGTTTTCATTCAAAATGCAGATTTCATGCCAGGCATGGTGGCAGCAACTGGGAGGCTGAGTGAGGCCAGCCTGAACTAACAGTGAGACCCTGTCTAAAAAAAAAAAAAAAATGCAGATTTCTATTCCAGATCTTCTGAATCAAAATCTTAGAAAGCAAGGGCAGAGCACAGGGTTCTGGGTTCAAACTCCAGAACAAAATACATGAGAGGAAGGGGAGGAGCAGGAAGGGGGGAGAGAAGAGGGGAAGGAAAAAGAAAAGAAAAAATAGGACAGAAGATGGATGAGAAGGAGCAAAGTACAAATACGCCAAAATGAAACCTATTAATCTATATAATGAAAAAAAAAGAATGAAAAATAAAAAGAACATAAAAAAGAAAAAAATCTTAGAAACTCTTCAAGTCTATACCTTGAAAAGTTACTTGAATAGGTTTTTTTAGACCATCAGGTAGAGGCCGCAGTACCTACACACAGGTGTTTGCCGTGGTTATCCCAGTGCTTAGCCCTGACAAGTGCCCATTATTATAGCTGAATCTGCATCCATTCATACATAGGTAATATATTCCAATAGATTTGGTAAATGCTACAGCTACTAGAGCCCCTACTTTAAAAAAAAACAGTAACAAAGTTTTTTTCCAGAAAGTAAAAGTGAAGAGGGTGCGGTGGTGACTGGCTCTGCAGAAGGAGCTGGGGCTGAGTAAAAGGGGGAAAAGCAAGATAAAAGAACACCCTGGAGAAAGCAGACAGGCTATCATAAGGAAAGCCATGACAGCCTTGAGTGCCTACTTTACTCCAAGTACAAAGCCAGACAGATGTAGAAGTAAAATCGTCACGTGAGATAACATGATATACTCAAGCAGTAGCGTGGTGCACGGGGGAGTCAATGTTTATATGTTAATCAAGGGAGGTTTTTTCAAAGAAATGATATCTTAGGTGGACTTTAAAGGACACATGCACGTTTTCCATGGAGGCAGAGTGTAAGAGTATTACAAACATATCTAAAGCACAAGGGAATGAAACCACAAACAAGAGACTCACACTCCTACCACAAACTATGTGATGGGAGTACAAAAGTGCCCACGTGTTAGCCGAGTGCGGTGCCACGTGCCTGTAATCCCAAGATTCTGAGAGGCTGAGGAAGGATCTAAAGTTTGAGCCTAGGCTGAGGATTTGGCTCAGTGGTGCCGCCACCTGCCTCGAAAGCACAAGGTCCCGAGTTCGATACCCGGTACCAAAAATAAATAAATAAATTTTGAGCCTAAACTGGGAGACTCAGGGAGACCCTGTCTCAAAATTCAAAAATAAAGAGTTGGGGGTGTAGCTCAGTGTGTAGGCCCTGGTTCAATCCCCAGTATGGGGGGAGGGGAAGTGCCCAGGTGTCGACTGTAGAGTTAGGCTTTTAAAAGAAGTAATGAAGGGGTTATTTCGATTTGCAAGTGGGAATTAAAAGATCAATAACTTCTCTGAAGAACAACGTGTGGGCTAGGCTTCCCCTTGCAAGAATGACAGGTTTGCAGGAAGGCGACTATGCTGGACCCAGGCCTGTTTTAGTCCAGCACCCAGTATAAGGAAGCAATCAGTTGCCCCATCAGACTCTGGTGTTCAGCTGCAAAGGAAGGGTGTGCAGTAGGCGCTGGACAAAAACAGGCAAAGATCGTCACCAGGTTAGGTCGGGCTGACACGCGCTGGTCGCTGAACGGCTAAACTGCAGGCACAACAGCTGACCACTTCCATCAGGCCCGTTAGAGACGGGATTTCCAGCTTGTCATCCTTTTTCAAGGCTAAGCCAGTCTTGGGCACCGGGGACCCCGAGGAGCCATCGCCAGACCTGCTCTCTGGTTCTGCAGTCCCCAGTCCTTACGGGCCGAGGGCTACTGGCTGCGTAGAAGCAGGCCCCTGTGCTCCCGGAAACGACCGCGACTGCAACTCGTTAGCCCCTTCCGCCCGCCGGCCACCAGCCACCGCCCTGAGACAGATCGCCTCACCTCGCGCGGGCGGCGGGCTCTTCGGCGCC